CAAAAACATGAAAACCCATTATAAACGAGGCATTCGTTGCATCCAGTGGGGACATAATTATGGATTATAATGACTTGTGTTGCATCGCGCCGTGTAAACATAAAACCATGTATGCATTTGTCATCGGAGAAATGACAAACAACAAGTCTTAACTTTTATAAAGAATATCTCTTTGGATTTGAGACTTTAGTCTTTGCAACTTTACAGATCTTCTTTATGCACCAAGAGCTTGTAACACTCCAAAGAGAAAGGAAAAATTGAAATCGCATCATATGACCCCTGTAATGTCCGTGACTGTTATGAGTATCATACAGGCAGTATGCCTGTGTAGATGACAGACACCTCAGAAGGTTTATATGAAACAGTTGATGTTTGTCCAAAACACTCTGGCACACTTTCAGTGAGAATATACATGCTGTTCTGTTATGATCCATATGCACTTCCACATTTACACATCCTCCTCCTGCTGTAACACAAACCCTCCTCAAAGGGTTTTCTCTCCTGTACATCACCAGTGTAAGCTTCATGGTGAAAACTTCTACATCACTCTCGTCAACGTAGTCCATAGTTACAATAACAGTTTATCTTGACTTTATCTTGTGGTTATTTTGGGAAAAGCAGTAGGGGGGCTTTTTCCCCCACTCTACCCTACATTGACCAAAAAATTTTTTTTCGAGATTTTAAGCTGCCCAAATATTGTCATAATAATTTTCGGGTTGGGGTGGGGGCGGGGTTCAAAAGTATCAATTATTATATTGATACTATATTGATATTGTATTGATTACAATTTTTTGAGCTTTGATAATTTTAGACTTTTCTCAAATTTGTGTATGGTATATAAGATTTTAAATGGTTTAGCCCCTTCTATACTTCGTGATTTTGTGCATTTTCGCTCTACAGTCTCTGTAAGATCTACTAGATCATCATCTACTAGTGATTGTGTTGTTCCTTTTCGTCATTCTGCCTTTGGGTTATCATCTTTCTCAGTGAAAGCTATTATTCACTGGAACACTCTACCAGAAGACATAAGGATGTGCACATCTATTGACATGTTTAAATTAAAACTAAAATTTTATTTAAAAGCAACTCAAAACTGTAAACACTGATACAGTTGTGGCTTAACTGAACGTTATCTTTACTGTTCTTTTTTGGCTTTGATGGGATGTGTATAAGTATTACTGTATTGTATGTGTTTGTTGTTTTGTACTTATGTTTATCTGTGATTATGATTACCTGCCAAGGGACCGCAGATTAAAACAAACTAGCCATTGGCTAAATTCGGTACAATGCATGAAATGGAAACATTTATGTTAAAATTGTACATGGTCCCTTTTCAAATAAAGTTTAATAATAATAATAATAATAATATATTATATTATTATTATATAAATTTAAACAATTATTATCAAACAATTATTTAAACTGCGTGTATATCAAACTGCTTGTTTTCTGCGTTAAAATAAGGGCCATTTTTGGCTTTGGACTAAAACAAAAAGCAGAAGGGCTTATTAAAGTTTAATAATAATAATAATAATATATTATTCTTATATAAATTTAAACAATTATTATCAAACAATTATTTAAACTGCATGTATATCAAACTGCGTGTTTTCTGCATTAAAATAAGGGCTGGGTCCCAAAATACTTGAGAGGGGTTGGGGCGGGGCAAAAGTATAAATCATTATATTATATTATTATTATTACTATTATTATATTAATTTATTATATTAATTTAAACAGTTATTATCAAACAATTATTTAAACTGTGTGTATATCAAACTGTGTGTTATCTACATAAAAATAAGGGTCGTTTTTGGCTTTGGCCTAAAACAAAAAGCAGAAGGGCTTATTGAAAAATGCAAATTCATTCTCTCCTCATTCTTTGGCTTTTCGCCAGGAATATAGCCATTTCCCCGGTAACCACAGTAAACAAAGCAGTGCAGCACCTGATTTTGCAACTTGCAGCGCTCATATTTAATCAATTAAACCATAGCCTTTTGAAGTGTAAGCTATATCTCAATATTTGTTTTTTTTTCACCGGAGCACCACCTGAGTCTTCTCCTCCCGTCCCATTTCTACCAGTGATCCTTTCCTTCCTGCGGTAGTCATCACTGTTGTAGGTTGCCAAGTTGAGGGGACAACTGGGTTGAAATTTGTAAGTGTTGATTGTGTGTGAAGGATGCGTTTCATACAAGATCTGGCAACTGGGCAGCCATGGAATTTGTTGACGTGATTATTCATATAATGAGGTTTGGGCCATACAAATTACAGAAGTTGTACCAGACGCGAATGTAGCAAACATATAAAAATATGCCCAGTGGGATTTTTTTATAGAAAGATACAAAATACGGGAAAATATTTAAACGGGATGATAGCAGGATAGAATAGTAAAATACGGGGAAAATACTGGGAAAAACGGGAGGGTTGACTGGTATGTATAAAGGCCGGGGCACACCAAGCCGACTTCAAAGAACTAGCAGTGACGAATGGCGACAGTGTTGTCGCCTCGCGTCGGCAGCGTCGGACCAAAAAGGTGCGCTCGAACACACCGCACAGACTACAGCCGACGGCAAACTAACACGTGCGTTGTGTGCATGCGTGAGAGGAATTAACTGTCTATATCAGCAGCTATCAGTAGTATATATTCGTCATTCAAAAGAAGAAACCGAAACAAAGATATAGGAGATAAATTTAGATATATGAAACGTAAACGAAGCAGCGCTTGCTTACCATTTTGAATATCAGTAATGTTGATAACTTTAATAATTTTAAGCGGCTCATGTTGTTATGAAAACATTCGCTTATTAGAATGATTGGGAAAGATCACGTAACATTTAAACAGCCTTCTGTCTGTACCGCATTCATTTACGTGCTTGTTTTCATCACTTTCGCTTTAATTCTCGGGCACTGACTCTAAACTTAAACTGAACATCCAATCAGAGTTCTCACTCTCGCCGACAGCCCCGACGCCGATTCAACATGAGCCGACGACGAGTGGAACACACCAAACAAACTAGCCCGACCGCCGCTCGCCGTCGGCCCGACATTGCCTGATGGCCGACCGTAGGCTTGGTGTGTCCCGGCCTTAATATGCATTTATTTTTACCTTACTTGCTCAACGACTCCCAAACAATTTGCTCAACGATTCATTTTTCCAAACTCCTCCTTGCGTGACGCTAATCGACGGTGATTGGTCTAATTTTCATTTCATCATGATTGCAATGCCTGATAAAGCAGTGTTTGTGAGCGCAGTGCTGCTTTGTGTACAGCGTTATTGGGGAAACCGCTATTTTTACTGCTTCAGAAGTGGCACCTAGTGGCAAAGAATAAATTAGCATTTTCATTCAGACCAACGCGAAAAGACCGACAAGTGGGCGGGCAATATGCTAATGTTTCATGTTGAGGTCAACATGAAACGGCTTGGGGTTCGTTTTAAAAACGACGCATTTCAATGATTCAGAGTCGACTCTTTCTTTTGAGAGACAATAACTTTATACACTGCACTTTTAGATTTAAAACTTTGCAGGATGTTTTCATTCACTTAGAGCTGTGTTACACACTGCATGAAAGGTAATTTTCAAAAATCCATAATAGGGGCACTTTAAATTCTAATAAACTTGCACATTTTTTATTATTATTTTTTATGTTACTGTTTTTACTGTAGTTTTGATCAAATAAATGCAGCTTTGGTGAGCATCTTTCAGCATCAGAAAGAAAAATCTTTCTGCTGAAATCATCTTTGGCAGAATCAGGCTTGCCACATAATAGCATTGATATGAGCCATCTTCAGTTTAATGCATGTTTAGTCAGTTACTTGGCAACCCTTCTTGGAAGAACATTGCATTTCACGATGGATTTAATTGTTCAAAGAATACTCTTCAATTTGACTGACATAAGATTGGAGATCTGTAGTTCAGATCAGGATGGCCTAGCGCTCTGAACGACATCCAAACAGCCTTTAAACATGTTCTCTGTGAAATGCAACAGCGATATTGATTCTGTTTCCTTTTTCTCTCCCTCTTGGTTTCAGATTTCCTGTTTAAGTTCCTGGTGATTGGCAGCGCTGGGACTGGGAAATCATGCCTCCTTCACCAGTTCATAGAAAACAAGTGTAAGCCCATATTAATGTCGCACTCTCACAAAGACGTGAATTAAAACATGACCTTTAATTCTCAGAGCATTCAGCAAAGAGAAAGAGGGGGGCCTTGAATGTTAATTCTTTGTGAAGCCAGAGTGGCTTTACATGCTTTTGAAACATGAATAAACGTATATTAAGCAATGAATGGAAATCATGTTGTCAGTGAGCTTAGAAAATCCAATGCCAATCTCAATTTACAGAGAAAATGAAAAAAAGAGGCTTAATTGCTGGAAATTATGTCTTTGACATTGAATGGATTTTGAATGACCCTGCCATTATGTTGTTTCCAAGACAGAAACGAGCTTTGAATGTTATATAAAAATTGAATGTGCATTGACTTAAGGAAGTCTACATGGGTCATATGATAAAACGAATAGAATTTTATGTGGTATTTTGAAGTAAAAGTTGTATGAGTGACAAAACACACTGGACTTTTGAGAACTCGTATCCTTTTATTATTTATTAGTTTCAGTTGATTTTGGACATTCAATTGTGCATGCTCATGTTGTTGGCCTGGTTCACCTTGTAAGCTTAAATATACAAACACAATGTTCAGTCTGAAATGTAGTCAGTTGCACACGATTTTTTTACGCTCCCTCATTGACTGAAAGCATGAAATCGCAGTGTGAAATGTAACTGTTGTGCAGGGTAAATGCATTTTGGGAATTCATATTTTTAATTTGATTGTAATATACAACTGTTCATGAGCTTTGATTGAGTCACCAGTTCACACAAATATTTTTTTCACAGACAGTTTTCAGAGTAATTTGAAAGTGGTAGTAAATGTGATGTGAAAACAGCACAATTTTTTAGGCCATAATTTCTATCTAATCTTAAGAGAACAGGCTTGTTTTGTGAACAAGTCACAATGTAACAGACTTTTCAAAGAGGATATTATTGAAGGAGCCAAGTAAAATGTATTTGCCCTGACAGCAAATCTGCAACCCATCAGTAAAAGCAGTAAAGTCTTGTATCTTATTTCCCATGCGACACCAATGCATTTTTCTGAGAGAAGATTGTCATGAAGAAATAAATTATGTAATCTGGCATCCAGGATTATTATCATTAACTAAAAATATTTAAAAACAATTTTGTTAATTGAAAAAGCTGAAATAAAATATTAAAACTTAAAAAAAAAATTAAAATGAGAAATATTGCCTGTGCAACTAACTGAAATAAGTTTAAGTTAAAGCACTAACATTACTAAATTGTAAAAAAGTGTTATCTTGAAATTGTTATCTTAAAGAACAATTATTTTCTGATTTAACTCATAAAATTAGTTTTGTTGTATTTAGGTTGATTCAGTGGTGCTAAATAATGTTTTTTAATTTGAATGAATATAGATGTTACCAATTGTTTCAGTGTAAAACTGATCTAAAATTAAAACTGAAATAAAAATAAATTAAGCCTAAAAAATAATATTTAAAAAGAACAAAACTAATAAAAATGACAAAAGCACATTACAAAATGACTAAACATTTAAAGGGTTAGTTCACCCAAAAATGAAAATTCTGTCATTAATTGCTCACCCTCATGTCATTCCAATCCCGTAAAACCTTCGTTCATCTTCGGTACACAAATTAAGATATTTTTGATGGAATCTGAGAGATGTCTGACCCTCCATAGACAGCAAGGATATTACCACGATCAACGCACAGAAACGTAGCAAGGACATCGGTAAAATAGTCCATGTGACATCAGGGGTTCAATCGTAATTTTATGAAGCTACGAGAATACTTTTTGTGCGCAAAGAAAACAATAACATAATTTATTCAGCAATTCTTCTCCTCGAGTTACCATCTTCCGCCATTTTTGGAGAGTACCCCAGAACATAATCAACGTAATCAGCGTTGTTTACGTTCAGTAGACAGCGTGCGCATGCAGAACGTAAACAACGTTGATTACGTTATGGGGTACTCTCCAAAATGGCGGAAGATGGTAACTCTGGGAGAAGAATTGCTGAATAAATTATGTTATTATTGTTTTCTTTGATCGTGGTAATATCATTTTAATATCCTTGGAGGGTCTGAGAGCTCTCAGATTCCATAAAAAAATCTTAATTTGTGTTCCGAAGATGAACGAAGGTGTTATGGATTTGGAACGACATGAGGGTGAGTAATTAATGACAGAATTTATTTTTGCGTGAATTATCCCTTTAACTAAAATTAAAATTAAAACTAAAAATATAAAAATAAATTTTAATAAACTTTAATAGTTCAGATAATACAAAAACAACACTGCTGGCATCAAACATCAATGAAACAATCTCTTTAAGCAGTTTGTCAGCTCAGCTTCTAACCAGTCATCTTCTGTCACAGTCAAACAGGACTCCAACCACACCATTGGCGTTGAGTTTGGCTCCAGGGTTGTTAACGTTGGCGGCAAAACGGTCAAATTGCAGATCTGGGACACAGCTGGGCAGGAGCGCTTTAGGTACTTGCCTGTGATTGGCTCATTAGCACATCCTCACTGCTCTGTGCTGACTCTGATTGGTTGAGGTCATTCTCCGCTTGTGTCTTACAGGTCGGTGACCCGCAGTTACTACCGTGGAGCAGCAGGGGCTCTTCTCGTGTATGACATCACAAGGTAAGGCAGCTTGTGGGATCACCCGACCGCAAAGATACATTTTGTTGTGAAATGAAAAAATTAAGCTTTTAGCTGCAGGAAATGAACTAAATCAGAGGCACATGGAGAGAATGACTGCGGCATTGAATTGAACGAGCTCCAGGTTGCCATGCAGCTGTCCTGGTAATAGAGACAAAGACAGTGGAGTAATAAAGACTGACAGCGCTGTAATAAAATGTCATCTTCTGGCGAGCGGCAACTCTCGGTCCATTAGACGGGATGTGAGCACAGTGAGCGAGAAACATGAACAGAGTGATGGATTGTGTGTGTTTGATGAGGGTCGTCCGTCAGCACTGAACTCTCGTCGCTGCAGACCGTTTTCACTGCTTTACACTCAAACACATTTACCACGCTCCCTTTGGTCTGTTGCTGTGGCCACAGGCTAATGGTTGCTCTGGAGACCAGTGACTCAAACAAAACAAGATTCCTTGAAAGCATGACGAACGTACAGTGAGGAAATGTGAAGGACGGCATTATGAGTCATGTATTGTCTCAAAGCACTCAGAGGTCATCACAGACATTGACTTTTGAGAAGCGGTATTAACAGTGAAGTATGTTAAATGTTCGCTGTTATTGACTCACAAAAGCGGTTTCTCTGGAACTGATTATAAATGGTGGAAATCAGGGTAAATATTGACTCCGAAAATTTGTAACACACTTGGCAGTTCTCAACATGTAATAAAAAAAATGTTGCCTTCTGGTACTAAGGCCCGTTCACACCAAGCACGATAACTATAAAGATATAGTTCTAAATATCGTTCTCAATATTAAAGAATCCACACCAGTCCACACCACAACTATAACGATAAAGGCACAGAGAAACGATATCGTTGGAATCACTTTCAGAACAATTTTTTTTTCCAGCTGATGAACGATACAAACATTGTCACCCAATCAGAATCCATCCTGCTTTAACAAGCTCGAGAATTTAAAGTGGCAGACGCGTGTGCGCTTAGAATAAACAGACGATACCGTCCGCTGGTGTGGACGCTAATATCGTTATCTTTATAGTTATCATTCTTGGTGTGAACATGGCTTTACTCTGCACAATTTATCTGTGTAGGTTTTTAAATATTTGTGTTCATAATTGTTATTAAAATTTAACTTTCAAACCTCTGAAAGCATTTTCCTTTTCGGCTGATGTCACTTAGGCTCCTCAGGCTACTGGTTAAGGTTTATCAATAGCTATTTAGGCATTGTTAGGGCCCTATGAAATCGGTTTTATTTTATTTTTTTCAAAATTCCATTTTTTCCGTTTCAGTTTTTCTGGATTCCGTTTTTTTTTTTTTTTTTTCGGTTTTCATTTTTCTAGACTGTTTAAATCGTTATATTAAATTTTATCCATCAAAAAGCATGTCTTATACTCACGTAAAGCATTATTTTAAGTTGTTAATGCATGTATGTCCAACTTTATCCGCATACACACAGTAAATCGCATAGGGTAATATATACTATGTAGCAAATCTCAGCTGCTTGAATGTATTGTTGCAAAATGTGAACTATATTATCGCCCGGCTACGATAAGACATGAAGATATTAAGATATTATAAATATTAACATCATGATTTTCTGTAAAGCTGCTTTGAAACTGTGTATTATGGAAAAAAAGTGATATTTAAATTAATTTGTGACCCTGGACCACAAAACCAGTCTTAAGTCATTGGGGTATATTTGTAGCAATAGTCAAAAATACATTGTATGGGTCAAAATTATTGATTTTTCTTTTATGCCAAAAATCATTGGGATATTAAGTAAAGATCATGTTCCATGAAGATATTTTGTAAATTTCCTACTGTAAATATATTAAAACTTAATTTTTGATTAGTAATATGCAATGCTAAGGACTTAATTTGGACAATTTTAAAGGCGATTTTCAAGTCAAGTCACCTTTATTTATATAGCGATTTTAACAATACAGATTGTGTCAAAGCAACTGTACAGCATTAATTAGGAATATATTGTGTCAATAATGCAAAATGATAATAGTAAACACTCAATTTTCAGTTAAAGGCAGTTCATCATTGAATTCAGTGATGTCATCATCCAGCTCAGTTCAGTTTAAATAGTATCTGTGCAACTAAGTCGACGATATCGCTGGATATTAAGTGTCCCCAACTAAGCAAGCCAGAGGCGACAGTGGCAAGGAACCGAAACTCCATCGGTGACAGAATGGAGAAAAAAACCTTGGGAGAAACCAGGCTCAGTCGGGGGGCCAGTTCTCCTCTGTCCAGATGAACCAGCAGTTCAATTCCAGGCTGCAGCAAAGTCACATTGTGCAGAGGACTCAACTGGTTCCTGTGGTCTTGTCCCGGTGGCCGTCTAGGAGACAAGGTCTTTACTGGGAATCTCTCTCTGGAGCTCATCTAGTTGTCCTGATCTCCGCTGACATTTAGGGCTGTAGAAGTCCATACTGATTTTCTCAGTATTTAGATTTTTTTGAACCCTCAGATTCCAGATTTTCAAATAGTTGTATCAGACAAATATTGTCCTATCTTAACAAACCATACATCAATGGAAAGCTTATTTATTCGAAAAATTGACCCTTATGACTGGTTTTGTGGTCCAGGGTCACATTTGTCTTTGTGTTCTTCTTTGTTCTCTAGTCGGGAGACCTACAATGCTCTGACTAACTGGCTGACGGACGCACGGACACTGGCCAGCCCCAACATCGTCATCATCCTGTGCGGGAATAAGAAGGATCTGGATGCGGACCGTGAGGTCACCTTCCTAGAGGCGTCTCGTTTTGCCCAGGAGAACGGTTAGAGCTGCTCTTTAGGCATAACACATTTGTAGCTATAGTCCAAAATGACTCTTTTCTTTGCTTGTTTTTGCATAACAGTGTGACACGACATCAATTTCTATTGCTTCTGGCACCTGTTTGTCATATATCTAGAGAGATCTGCTTGTATTCATAATTCATAATTGGCCAAACAGATGTGTGCCGCTGCAGAGAGTGCACTTCTCTTCCTCTCTGTTGTTAGAACAGCAGGATTTTTATGAGCGGCTCATTTACGAGTTCTTCTGTATTGGTCACAGGAGTGCTGTAGACACGGCTAAAGACCATAAGTTGGTTCTTGCGGATGATGCTATTCACACTAAAGCACCCTGATGTAACTGACGCTTAGCATGGCTGATAACAGGTGTCCATATGGACCTTTTCAACACAAAAGCATTTGCAGGGTGAGCAGATGATTGATTTTAATGTGTTAGCCTGACTCTGTCCTCCCTCAGAGCTGATGTTTTTGGAGACGAGTGCTTTAACCGGTGAGAACGTAGAGGAAGCCTTTCTCAAATGTGCTCGTACCATCCTCAATAAGATTGAGACGGGTAAGTGAACACTGCACTGCCGAGACATTTTGGTATTAGTTTACTATTTCTTGATACATCAGGATTTTATGGCTCATAAAGTATGATATAGGAGAATTTAGAGTCCATATTTGAAAAGGAAAAAGACAAGTAATTTTTATTCAGAGGCCCAAACGGTCCATTTCTCGCTATTAACAAACCATTAACCATGACTTTTGCCTCAATAAATTCCTAATTCGCTACTTATTAATAGTTAGTAAGGTACAGTAGTTGTTAGGTTTATGTATTGGGTAGGATTAGGGATGTAGAATATGGTCATGCAGAATATGTGCTTTATAAGTACTAAAAAACAACCAATATGTTATTAATTGGCATGCTAATAAGCAACTAGGTAATAGTTAGAATTGGTCCCTATGCTAAAGTTTTACTGTCCAAACTGAGAAAAAATATACAATTTGGTGCAGATGGTGATATTTTTATAGCCAAAAAGTAAGATGGAATTCTAATAGTTTTAGAAAACTTGCATAAATGCATATAAATATCTGTTGTCACCAGGGCTCTGAACCGGTTCAAGAAACGAACGAAATTTTGACAGAAACAGAAACGAAATCATATTTTAGAGTTCCGAACAGAATCGAAAATTTGAAATGGCTATTAACTGGTTAACAACGATATTTTATCATTCCATTTAATATTTGAAATTTGCTGTCAACCAATCACTAATTCAAGTAGTACAGCCTATGCAAATGTGACGCTGATGCATCCAACCAGTGAGTGAAATGCCCGCGCTCAGCTGTGAACTCATCATAGGTCGCAATGGCAATGGCGTTAGTTTATTTGAGGATAGTGTAAGATGGATTCAACGGAGAAAACAGAAAAAAACTATAGGCTTACATAAAAGGAATAGCCTACATTGGCCTATACACGAAATCTATTTCACTTAAGTAATTGACAGATTAACAAAACAAAAGAAAAAAATGTGCTGAGTTTTGGTTTATTGTGACGCGATCCAAAGTTCACGGAAAGGAAACCGAGACGGCAGAAAGTAGATAGTTTAAATTATTTTGCAAAAGCTTTACAGTTTTATTTATTTTGGAAAAGCTTGACAGTTTTGAATGATGTCTTGCTTCTGTCTGTATGACCAACCAGCGTTGGTATGGCCATATCGCGCCGGCGCCTCACGCACATACAGACACAACATATTTTGTGAAATTGCAGCCTGTTCATTATCAAAATAAAATACAGTTAAAGAAACATATAAAAAGTTACACTGCTCCGTTGTACAATCTGTTGCGTTGTTTACTAATAGCCGATCCGAAGGATGAGGTTTGCATCAATCGCAAATTTGAGAGGAAAAAGACGCTTGGCGCTCTTTTTTTTGTTGTCCTTTTGCTCTATCAAATCTTTTAGTAATCATCATAAATTATATATAATTTAAAAGCTTAGAAGCCCAAGATTCATCCTGTGAAAACCATTTTGAAATCGGACATTGCGTTACCATGGAAATGGTACTTTAAAATCTTTGGCGGTCTCCTCCCCCTTAGTGGGCGGTGTCAAGTGTCATATTACAAAATGCATTACGGTCTTTTAGAATCAAACCTTTTTATAATCTTGACAAAAACATATCATTGGAAAGGTCTGAGTCTCAGGATTCCATGTTTTGGTTCTTTTGAGATAGAGGTAATATTTGCAGAGAAATCTAGACTTTTGTGACAGAAAAAGGCATAAAAATTCAATGGTGTTTGGATGGCACCTGGTGGCTGTTTGTGGTATAACGCCCTAAATAAAATCTCACAGGAACCTCAATTTTTTTCATACCAACTTCAACTTTGGAACATAACTTATTTAGACATAAGGCTTTAATTTTATACCAATTTTAGAGTAAAACCTGTTATGTAAAATATTTACTATATGTAAAATAAAATTAGTATAGTGCATTTTCTTTACAGTAAATTTAAACTTCTATAACTTTTTGATACTTTAATTTTTTTTTTTTTTTTAATTCCACTTTTGCAATAATCTGCTGATTTTCTTCTTTAAAAAGAGACCAACCTTAGGTCTGTATTCCAAAGTGTTCATAAATTACAACAATTTAAGTTTGGATAGGGCACTTTCATGCCTATTTTTAAAAAATGGGGGGTGACCGTTAAGGGGTTACAGCGTTAACAGATTTTTTTCTTTTGTTTAGTAGCCTACATTTGGTCAAAATCTAGAAAAGATGATGCTGTATTGGCTATGATACCAGATCTCTTCCCTTTTTTTTTGTTTTTTGTTGAGTAAAGAAAACGCTGGACTTTATTATTATTATTATTATTATTATTATTATTATTATTATTATTATAGACAAAGAAAAAGTTTTTAAAAAATTACGTTATCAACCTTTTTTTTTTTTTACTCAAACCGGTTAATAATAATACAGAGGAACGCAAGAACAGAAACGTTAAAATATCGATTCTGCTTGGAGTGAACCGATTGAATTTTTTTTTTTTCGTTTTCAAGCCCTGGTTGTCACTCTATATTTCCCAGTAATCTGTCTTAATAAGATGATATTTAAATACTATGGTCAAAAGCTCTGTAGTTTTTTTTTTATTGTCGTTGGTAAAACATATAATGCAATGCAATACAATGATGATTGAAAGTATAATAAACATTCCTCAAAAGCCTGGTATATCATATTTAATACTTTTACTGAAATGTTATATATGAATGATCTAGTAAATCTAAGTTGCTTCAGTCCAGTAAGTGTTCATCTTGAAATATTACAAACAAGATATGTCATTCTTATGTTTACTTAAAAAAAAAAAATATCAATCAAATTTCACAGCAAAACATGTTTACCACGATCTAAAGGTGGACATTAACAATTGTACTAAGAGGCCTTATTAAAAGGCATTAAAGGGATAGTTCACCCAAAAATGAAAATTCTGTCATTAATTACTTAACCTTATGTCGTTCCAAACCCATAAGACCTTCGTTCATCTTCAGAACACAAATTAGGATATTTTTGATGAAATCTGAGAGCTTTCTGACCCTGCATAGACAGCAATGCAACTGAAATGTTCAAGGCCCAGAAAGGTAGTCAGGACATTATTAAAATAGTCCATGTGACATCAGTGGTTCAACCGTAATTTATGAAGCTACGAGAATACTTTTTGTGCAGAAAGAAAACAAAAACAATGACTTTATTCAACAATTCTTCTCTTCCGCTACAGAATTTTCATTTTTGGGTGAACAATCCCTTTAATGAGATGGCAGAAGGCATGTAGTAGATTGTATACGACAGGTTTTTTGATCATGTTGATCATTTAGAAGCCGTAGGAATTTGTTTATCAAATATGATACAGTAGGCTTTATAAGGTTAAGCTTAGTGTTCTCTTTATGCTCATACAGGTGAGTTGGATCCGGAGCGGATGGGTTCTGGGATCCAGTACGGCGACGCGTCCCTGCGGCAGCTCAGACAGCCCCGGGGTTCTGCTGCACAGGCCAAGCAGCAGTGTAACTGTTAGGGGCCTGGGCACCCTGACCGCTAGCAGACATCAGACCGTACACACACAACCTCCCTTCTCAGGTCAGTTCAGTGTGACTGGGTTATATTAGAGTCTCTTTCTATGACAGATTTAGAGGAAGGTTCTGGGATTACCACAAAAAAAAAAAATTTCGACACACAATAATGCGTTTACAGTGGAAACCTATGGGGCGGTATGTTACACCAATGTAATTATTAAAAAACACTATTATGAAAGCATAATTGCAAGATTTGAACATTGTGTTCATTAAGTTCATCCACATTACAGTTAAAAGGAAATATAAAGTAATATATAATACTAGGGATGCTCCGATCAGGATTTTTGCAGCCGATACCGAGTACCGATTTTTTTTTTGTCATGATGATCGGCCGATACCGATGCCGATTCTGATGCTTCAAGCTTTATATAGACGGTTTCATTCGGGCGCACGCGCCTGGCCCGAAGTTAACTTCCGGTCTGTGTTTGTTTATCAGTCTGGCTATGGCGCCGGCTACAAACGCAGTTAAAGTTAAGGTGATGAGTAGACTGAAGTTGTTAATCGTTAATTGGGTAATAAAAAATGCATTCTGATTATTTGCGGGTGGGTCGCGGGTGGATAAAATAAATCATAAATGATGCAAATATTAACTACATTTTTTTAAATATTTTTTTTTCATGAGGCAGACGATTTCGCATGTGCATGTGTGTTTATTGCTGCAGTGACAGAAACAGTGACATTCCAGAAAAAGTTTGAAAGGAGTAAAGCCTGTGTTAATGCTATTGAGTAGGCTAATATGGCCAAAGAAGATATTTTGTTTTATAAATAACAGCCCATGATCAGCGTATTATGTTACCGTTATCCCTTACGGCTCCGACGAGGTTTTGTTCCGTCCTCCACGCTGTGACAACTCACAAAAGACTATTTTTTTTTAGCCAAGCAGCGCGGAGAGTCGCTTCAGAAACGTGCCGCGGCTGGCTCATAAACACAAGCACTGACTAGATCGGCCGCGATCAGCTCCGGTTCCCATGGACCTGTAACGCGCCGCAGACGCGTGCAGTGAGGCGCAGATCAGCTCTAACGTCACTGAATCTTCTGTTAAAAATGAACCATGTAGGCCTATTTATCATATCATTATGCAAAACATGCACGACAAATTTTTCATTGTTTCTCAAAACATCATAGCATTTCCACACCAGCTATGACATGACTGTGGCACCAAATCATTTATGTCCCCACGCATCATGTACGTCGTCATGCGTTGACGTCATCAAATTGTGATCGGTTCGTGAGATCGGCCAAGTTAGTGAGTACCGATCGAGTCATAAAATGTGATTATCGGCCGATACCGATCTCCGGCCGATCGATTGGAGCATCCCTATATAATACACAAGTCATATTTTGCTACAAAGGCGTGCATTTTCTTGATCATAAAAAACTGTAAAATCTGTAATATTGTGAAATACTATTACAAGTTAAAATGAGTGTTTACTATTTTAATATATATTAAACTGTAATTTATTTCTGTGACGCAAAGCTGGATTTTTGCTCACTGTCACGCACTCCCATGAGACCATGATATTTTTTTCAGAGTTTTTGATGAATAGGAAGTTCGAAAGAACAGCATTTATTTGGGGGAAAAAAATATTTTGTAATATTATAAATGTCTTTAGTGTTAGTTTTGATCAATTGAATGTGTCCTTTTTTTATTTTTTATTTAAAAAATTGTACTGACCTCAAACTTTTTAATGATAATATATCATATTTATTTAATTCAGTTTGTCTAGGGTAATTGAGCATACATACACAGATAGAACTAAGTTTTGTTGAAAAGAATAATACCGTTTTTAAATGTTCTTGAACTCTTTCTTTCAGCTCCGGGTGTCTCTGGGTATGCACACCCCTTACCCCTCTCCCAAATGTGACCCTTCCACACCCAGACACATCTGGATCATTTCTTATGATGAAGTCCATCTGCAAACTTTAACCTCCGACCTCAGAAAGCTGTTCACCTAGGACAGATCTCCCTGACTGCTTAGCGAGGGGCACGGGCAGTAGAGGTGAATCACGTCCCGACTGAGAGACTGTGCGTGTTTTTAACTTCTCCTGTGATTCTTACACACACAGTTCCTTCTTATAAAGTAAACGGCCAACATCTAGACTTCACTAGACTGGGATAAGCCATTCAACGACAGCAGTAGATGAACATTCCTAGGTCTTGAATCATTTTATACGTTGTGACATATCAGTTCTTTGTCGGTGTTAAACTGAACGTCCCCTTGATTTTCTTTTGACATTCCTAAAAATGACAAATAAGCATATGAGTGGTCTGTGCAGGTTAGTTGGTCACTTATAATATGGCCAGAATGCCAAATATTGATCTTCTGAGAGAACATACAGCTCTTAAAACCCCATATACACTGTTGCATTGGTTTTGTATTTAAAGAGCTTCTAAAAGCACAAAGGAGGGGAAGGGGAAAAAGAAACATCCATTCAGATCTTGTCATTCGGTCGGCACTATCTGGTGCATATCAGATGTTTACTGCCGTCTCAGTCTGGCTTGGGTTAGAGGTTATCGTCTAACTTAACCTCACCCGTCTTTCTGCACAGACCTCCTACCTTCAGATTTATTGAAATTAAGGACAATAAATCTACATTTTGCATTTGTTTGGCAGACACATATAGAAATATCAAATAATACATTTTTTTGAGATTGGTGGCTTAAAAATGTATTTCACGAAATGCCAAAAAAAAAGAAAATGCATACAAAAATAATATATTAAATTGAAAATTTTGGAGTCTGCATAGGTGAATCTCCCAAAAACTCAAGAACATGTTTAAATCGTATTTCACCTTGAATTTAAAATAATGAAATCAGGGATAATATGTTTTCTAAAGAAAATAAAGGTTACTTTAGGACAATTAAGATTTTGGAACAATTAAGCACATTTCCTCCTAAATTTTCACAAAAATAAATGATGCTGATTTTAAAATATTTTATTATTAGATTACAGTAATGCAAATAGGATTTTTAATGCTTAATTTTCAGATAATAAAACGTCTCAATGCATAAACAAATTATTATAGCAAAATTTCTTTGAGACATTTCTTTGTGAGATTCAACCCTGTTATTATTGAGTTAAAGTCACGTAAAAAGTGTACACTCTTAGAATGGAAGAATATTTCCATGCAGAAACCAGCTCAGACCCTTCAGACTGCAACACGATTAATCTTCCACTGTTGCTGTGGTGTTTAGTCGTGCATATTTTGGGTTAATTTGTCGTTGTTTTGCTCTGGTTACCCATGACGGGGAGATCTAGAGGTGATGAGCGGCGCAGTGCCCCGTTCCCTCAGTGACATCATCATTATGCACCACAGACAGACCTGCTTTGATCTGTGTTTTAAATGCCGTCTATGTGATGTGTGGTTTTTCTTTTTTTCCCCTCTGCAAGTGCACTTTTTTTGACTGTTTATATACTGTACCTATAGAATTGTAAAATTTATAGTAATTTAATGACATTAAATGAGAGAATATTGTTTGAGGAGTGATCATTCCTTACTAAAGAACAACTGAGATTAGACAAGAACATGCTGTTAGTCGTAAATATGGGGTGGGTGATCGGCTCGCCACGTCTTCTAGTTCAAGCACAGCCTTAACTGACTAACCACATGATTGTTCTACATCATTCAAGAGGCTGCCTCATGCGCTCATAATCGTCCGAGCTCTTAAAATGTACTTAAACTGTTATGGTTTTGTTTTTTGGACGTTTTTTTTATTTAATTTTTTTATCCACCGTGATAAATCTTTTCGATCTTTTACGAAATTATTTGTTTGAGAGAATTAAACCATTTTTATCTATCAAAATTTTGACTCAAAGGAATATTCCAAGGTAAACAGATGTTAAGTTAAGCTGCAGTCACACTAGACTTTGTGCGTGCAAAATTTGAACGGATACTGCAATGTTGGTAATATGACGTCACACTCATTTTAAAAACATAATTCAACATATCTAAAACAAAAAAAAATTGCAATCTATTCCAATTTACTGCAATGCCATCTTCTGGTCAAATGCAGGAATTAATTCGACCTTGACCCTCACAGTGCATTATGGGTATTCTCTAGCCGTTTAGTGTAAATCATCTGACACTCATTATTGCGGTGTATTATGGAATTGAATGAGTGCACTCGATAACGTCCAATTTGGTTCGTTTTTTTTATTTAATTTTTTTATCCACCGTGATAAATCTTTTCGATCTTTTACGAAATTATTTGTTTGAGAGAATTAAACCATTTTTATCTATCAAAATTTTGACTCAAAGGAATATTCCAAGGTAAACAGATGTTAAGTTAAGCTGCAGTCACACTAGACTTTGTGCGTGCAAAATTTGAACGGATACTGCAATGTTGGTAATATGACGTCACACTCATTTTAAAAACATAATTCAACATATCTAAAACAAAAAAAAATTGCAATCTATTCCAATTTACTGCAATGCCATCTTCTGGTCAAATGCAGGAATTAATTCGACCTTGACCCTCACAGTGCATTATGGGTATTCTCTAGCCGTTTAGTGTAAATCGTCTGACACTCATTATTGCGGTGTATTATGGAATTGAATGAGTGCACTTGATAACGTCCAATTTGGTTTCAGACACCACAACAAATGGCTGTCCGCACAAATAGTGGCCTATTTATAAGGGTATAGGGGGCGATTTTGGACACAGCCTAGTACATTCTTTCTTTTAATACAGCTAAGAGTTCATGTGTGACATGAGTCTTCTATTGGTCACATGCATTCATGTGATATGAATTTGTAGAGCAGAGTTCAACAAAACTTGAAGCGAAATTCGCATGCACTTGCGTTTTCTGTTTTTTTCCGCATTCCACATTTAATGTAGTTTGGCAAATTTTCGCAGGTGAGATCCTGTCAGTTTAATAGGAATTCACGCAATCATGCATTTCACACAAGGGAGAAAGATTTACCCCACGCAGATTTTGCAACTGGTTCAGATTGGTTATGCAGACTTGCCACATTGACAAATCGAAAGCTCAAAGGCACAATATGTAATTTTCGCCGCTGGAGGGCGACACAGTGACACTATGGACACGCTCCGTGTCACTAGTTAAAATTGCTTATTTCTCTGGATTTAAACATTCTTCGAAACATTTGGGATAATGTAAGTACACAAGTCAGCAAAAGAGATAACACTGTTATAGTGGTTTTTGGATATTTTAATAAAAAAATCTTACATATTGTGCCTTTAATTTTAAGATTTAAAAGTGACGACTTTTTGAGCTGTGCTTTATACATTGCTCCATTATTGACGATAGACAGTAGACCTTTTTATCTGTGAAATTTCACCAAAATTTCGCTAATGTGACTGCATCTTCATCGGTGCAAGTCAATGGAATGAAAATTGTAGCACTGCACTGCTTTCCAGAAAATTATTTCAATTTTATGCACTTAAGGTACGGTCACATTCATCGAAATTTCATTGGCAAATTCCATGAATTTCAATTTGCCATGCTGAACAACAGATAACTGCTTTGTTTGAAAGTGACTACTGTGTGAGCTGTGCTTTATACATCGCTACACTATTGACAAAAAGGACCGTTTACGCCAAATTGCGGTAAAACTTTGCGGACAAAAATGGTCAATTTTCCATTTAAGCGTTGTTGTTTTCTACATGATTAATTGACAGCATGTCACTGATGCTGCCCAATGTATTTACCTGGAATATTCCTTATGGTGCCAATATTAGTGGGTTTGAAACTTGTTAAACCCTTAAATTTACAGGGTGATGCTTTATGGTCCATGGTCCATGAAATGTGGTACACGATGTTAAGAAGGGCGATCGCAATTATCGTTGCTCATCTAGATTTAATTTGCAGTTTATTTTAGTTTATTTATTCGCCGTTTTTTTGACAATTTCGCCTGGCGAAATTTACTGTTCAGCTTTTCTTTTTCTTTTTTTCCCCTTGTTCTCTGTGTGGGCGAAATCCATTCATTTGAATAGGAATCCACTCGATCGGGAATTTCACATGATGGTGATAGGTTTCCCCTCACAGATTTCGCAACTGCTTCAAGCTGTGTGGTTTGAAAGTGACTCCAAATGTGAGCACCATTGACAGTAGACAATGGGTGTTCTTTGTCCGCGAAATTTCGCTAATGTGACCGCACCTTTAGAACAGCACCACTACTTGAGCCAGAAGAAATTCAGTGGCTTATGTAGTGGAGTTTGGTAGCATTTCATAACCAAATATCAATATGGAGTGCATTTGAAGAGTAGTTCAAAGTACTGCATTAAACCAGTTGTTGCTTAGTAACCAGTGTGATTTGTTCATTCATAAATACTGTATATCTGAATCATCTATGCTGTAAATTGAATTTGTTTATCGGAGTGTTTGGGGGGAGGGGTGCTTGTTCATTTGAAAGATTTAAGGTTATAATTAAAGTTTGCTTGTTTTTTATGTTATGTGAATGTCGTCTTTCTGTGGTCTCTGTTTTGTGTGGGAGTGTGTGACAGTGAGCAAGTTGCCCTTTCACTTTTTTTGTTCTTTGACAAATGCTGTGTATTCAAATTAGTATCCAATTATCTCTATTTCTATGGTGACGGATGCATACAACGTGACATTCACAAGAAATGAAAATACTCCCAACCCTGAATATGCAACTATTTTAAGAGGTGACGATTTCATATGTTCATATGATGTGAGTTTTACGGAAACATGATTTCTGTATGGAGAAAAAAAAAAAAAAGCAAGCATGAAGGTCCGCTAGGCCTGGGCGATAAACCGGTATCGATATTTATCGACGGTACACCCTCTTCGATAACGATAGAAAAAATGTTCGATATAGCGCACGATATAGGCACGTGCTATGAGTGACGCAGACTACACACACAAACATGAACACATGCTGAATTGAGTGCTGTGCCTGCGATGAGGAGATTGTGAATAAAAAAAAAGAATATTAGTCGAATTTAAAATAAACATTTGCATTTGAATGCAAAAATAGTACAATCAAATGTTAGGTGTGCGTCTGGGAGCGTCATTAGTGGAGCGCGAGATGCGGTGATGATGTAAGTGACGTTGTTGCATTTAAATGTTTTGTTAGTCTAGCCCACAAGATGCGCCGCTGCTGCGTTATTCATTCAAAATATTAGAGAAATATAGAAGCTCAATGCGGAGAAGATCTTGATTAAGTTAAAACCGAAACCAAGCCATTCACACAGAATGCATATTCAGCGCATTTTTTAGACGGACAAATATGACTACTGCACTCGCGTCTCACACAAGAGATGTATAGAAAAC